TTCAAGAATAGTGTTTCTCAATGTAAAATAGCAAAGAACTTTTGCTTTTTATCATCTACAGTACATTGTAACATTATAAGTTTCAGAGAATCCAGAGGAATCTTTGTATGCAAAGGACAAGGCCAAAAACCAGTATTTGCTGGCCATGATCTTTGGGCCCATAGGTGGCATTAAAAACCGACATAATTCTGTAGTGGAAATTACTGCATGGGCTCACAAACACTTATGAAAAACATTGTCTATGAAAACAGTTCATCGCTGCATCCACAAATGCAAGTTAAAACTCTAAAACACAAAGAAGAAATCATATATAAACAGGATCCAGAAATGCTGCCACCTTCTCTGGGCCCGAGCTTATTTAAAATAGACTAAGGGGAAGTGGAAAAGTGTCCTGTGGTCCGACAAAATTGAAATCATGGACACTGTATCCTCCAGGCTAAAGACCACTCAGTTTGGTGCACATGGCATGCATGACATGCACATCTGTGAAGGAACTATTAATGCTGAATGATATATACATGTTTTGGCAACATATGCTGCCATCCAGATGGCACCTTTTTCAAGGAAGGCCTTGCTTATTTCAGCAAGACAATGTCAAACCACATTCTGCATGTATTACAAAGGCATTGCTCCATATAAAAGTCCAGGCACTAAACTGACCTGCCTGCAGTCCAGACCTGTCATCACTGAAAAGGTTTGGTGCATAATGAAATGAAAAATATGACAAAGGAGACCCCAAACTGCTGAGCAGCTGAAATCCTATATCAACCAAGAACGAGAAAACAATTCACTTTCAAAACTACAGAAATTGGTCTCCTCAGTTCCCAAACGCTTACAGTGTTGTTAAAAAAAGCAGTAATGAAACACAGTGGTAAACATGCCCCTGTCCCAACTTTTTTGAAACATGTTGTTGGCATCAAATTCAAAATGGGCATATATTTTTCAAAAAACAATAAAATTTCTCAGTTTCAACATTTGATTTGTTGTCTTTGTAATATTTTAAATGAAATATAGGGTTTAAATGATTTGCACATCATTGCATTTTGTTTTTACTTACATTTTGCACAGCGTCCCAACTTTTTTGGAAATGGGCATCTCCTGAAGTGGTTTGACCAATCAGATTTAAATCCGTTTCTAATGCATCGTGGGTGCGGTTACACTTGCATTTATGTGGATAGTCTATCCATAACACATAATCCTGATACTCAAGAAGCAGTAACTGATCAGGTGTAAATGGGGTCGGGGGGTTTGTATATATAACGAAAGGGGTTGCTTATGCCATTCTGTGTGCTTGTACATGTATGTGCATGTGCTTGTGCCTGTGTGGCTTTGGGAGTCATGGCATCTTGAAAGAGCCCAATTGTTCATTGCATCTTCAGTGTTCACAACAGGCGAGAAATTGCTGTGACTTGTTTGGGCTGCTATTGCATTCCACTTATGGATGAAAGAGCACAGATAAACATCAAGACAGAGAAAGAGAAGAATAAGTTACAACAAGCTGTCTCTGTGTTGGTAAAATCCCAGCCATGAGGAAATTCTCTATAGGAGGTCTCTGAACCACCATTTTCTTTTTTTTGCATTTTATTTATTAAAAAAACTGTATATAGAAGGGTAGCCCAAGTACAGTTACCGTGGGATAGTTGTTCTACAATAAATACCATGCCTTCCCATTCAACATCGGTGACTGACTTCAAAAATGCTCACAGACACATTCCAAAATCTTGTGGAAAGCCTTCCCAGAAGAGTGGAGACTGTTTTAGCCGCAAAGAGAGTCAACTCCATATTAATGCCTATGATTTTGAATTGTGATGTCCAGCAAGCTCATATAGGTTTGATGGTCAGGTGTTTGTATACCTTTGACCATATGGTGTACATTAGACTCAAGCCCAATAATCCATAGTTTGTGTTGGTGTTCTCTTCAGACTTGTACGTGTAAGGCTGGGTAAGTGTGATGCTACTTCCACCCTGCACCATACCTGAACAGGGCCATTACATTTGATGCAGAGGCTGGTAATTAAGAGGTTAGCTTGAATTTACAATACACTGGGGATCACACCCACACAAGAAAATAAAATAGATTGAGAGAGAACACTTGTTTTAAGGGCAAATGTTCAGGAAAAAAAATTTGAATGTGCTGGAATACATTTTTTTTTAATCAATATTTTTGACAGGAATTACAAAGTAAAGTGCTGGGTCTTTAACAGCTGACTAGTTAGGCTGCAAGGCTGTTGAGCCTTAGGCCAGAGGCCAAGCACAAGCCCAAGTTAGGTCCATGGAGAGTGTTTGTAGGTGTGTTTATGTTTATGTTCAATGGTGCAGCTGGCAGGTGGAGCAGTGATATGTGAATATGTGATGATTAGAGGCCGAATATTATCTCCAGAATAGGGGGCATGATTGTACTTTTGTTCTCTGTCAGAACCTCCTTGTGCTGCCACATGGGTTTGGCTGGGCTTCCTGGAGCTTGGACGCCTGCCACTTGTTAGCCTTCACTGGTTTGGAACTGCAGCAGCATCTGTCTTTTAAAAAGGGGGGAAACAAGATAAGCTTTTCAAATTGTAAAGCATCAAAACAGAGTAACAAAGCAACACACCACACACTGAACCCAAATCTCCCCATGACCAAACGGATGACTGATTATATAGGCCTCGTGGGGGAAAAAGATTGAGGGGAAAAACAAAGAGGAAGAAAGAAAGCTTTGCACTTTGATGTCACCATGAGAAAGGGCAAGAAAGATAAGGAGCAGTAGAGCAAGAGACAGTAGCCATATTTACATGCAGCCTGATAATCCGTTAATAATCTAACTAATAGCTCAATCAGAATAGAATGTGTCCATGTATAAACTTCAGCTGGAATAGACTAGTCTGATTGAGGCTATTCCAAATACAATTTCTATCTGACTGAACGAGGTGGGTAAACACTGTCATTCCATATCTGCTGTGTGCCACTATATGACGACAGCATGAAGCCACGCAAACATTGCCTTGGCGACCACGTTACTTGCGAAAATGGATGATTATCAAAGAAGAGATTTAGCAGTGTAGACTGTTTATTTACAGTGGAGAACATCAGGATGACGTTGTATAATGTATGTACAACGTATATATGTACATTTGTTGTATGATAATGAGTCTGGAATTCAACAATATGACGTTTGGCATCCACGGCTCCACAAAAAAATCATCTAGCGTATTTCGCCACTGCGGTTGATGGTAAAAATTGGAAAAATTGAGCTCTTGATGCAACATTCTGCTCACCACTGTAGCCTGCTGACCGTTGCCACTTGCGATGATGGAATTTTCCATCGCAGAATAACATAACATATGAAGGCAGCATAACATAGATCTAAACGTCACGTTAGTTTCTGAGAAACTCCTGCGAAGTTTTGAGAATCGGAACCATTGGTTAGACTCTTGTTTGTGTGCATAATCTGAAAGTGTGTGGTGTTTCATTCAGGACAGATCATGTAGTGTGGGGAGTTTGATGACTAACAATGATAAAGGTCAGAAAAATCTGTGAAAAATATTATTATGTGTGGGGTGTGTCACGTTTTACATCGGTTAGGTTTTTTAAAATCCTGTAGTGTGGGCCAGGCCTTAAATTATATTCAGAATAAATTCAATCGGATTGTCGAAAATCTTTGCACGTAGACACAGCCAATAAGAGGAAGAAAAAATAGTAGAAGGAGGGAAGGAATGACTGACTGGAAAAAAAAGAGAGAGGGAGAGGGAGCAGTAAAGGTTTTGATTAGAGAGCTGTTTGTGGTTTGGTACATGAGTGTGTGAGATTGGAAAGCACCTCACATGTCTGCAGCCAACACGAGAGAGAGAGAGAGAGAGAGAGAGAGAGAGAGAGAGAGAGACAAAGTGAGAGGGGGGGAGGGACGCAAAGGGAGACTGACAAGAAAAACGTAGAGAGAGAAACAGAGAGAGAGTGGGGAGAAATAAGGAGTGAGAGAGAAAGAAAAAGATATAGGAAGCGAGACAGAGACTGAGAAACAGAATGAGAGAAAGAAAGTAAATTGGAGAATGAGAGAGAGACAGAAGTTGAGAAAGCAAGAGAGAGTGAGAGAGGGGGAGAGAGAAATGGAATGAATTAGGTGCACACACCAAATAGTCCCTATGGGGGGCACTGTCAGTATGGTGTGTGGATCATTTAATCTCTCACATTTACAGTGCACGCACACACACACACACACACACACTTGCTTTTACACAATGTCAGGATGTGAGGTCATATATATGTTGACCCCAGAACCACAAATTATTTCATATATTGTTCTAATCATTTGAGCACAGCAGCTGCTCTTTACATTGTGTGAATGTCTCATGAAAACTGGACCATCCAAGACTACTTGGAATACAATCTTGTTACACTGACTTACATTAAAAGTTAAAAAAAAAAGAAATACTTTACTTTGTGGAGATATTGTATTTTTGGACAGCAACACTAGCTATTTTTATACATAAGTATCTATACGTAATAGAAATTTTCTTAGTCTAACCCTAAGGAAACCTAAAGAAACACTTTTCCCTTTCAGTTTAATAGTGTAAGTTAGTACAGCTGTTCCTAGACGTTTTTTGTCCTGACAACGTACAAAAACACACATATATACACATTGTCCCATATGAGTCACTTTGGGTTTTAGTGGTCACTTCACCTATGCACACAATCTGCTTTCAGTTTTGCAAGAGCAGCAGGGTGGTCTTGACCAGTGACATGGGGTGACATGGATCAATCCACCCAGTGCTCAGCATTTTGTTCTGTCATTAAGGTTAAAGGCTGTGCTGTTTTAGACCAGATTTAGTTTTAGCCTATTACGCTTTGTCTCTGGTTGTTCTCAGCCTGCCTTGCCCTTTTGCTTTGATTTCATCTGTTTGCACCTTGCTCTGAAAGTTTCCTAGAGAGTTAAGTTTTGGAGGTTGTGAGTCCCCTCCTCCTTTCTCTCCTTCCCTCCCCCTTTCCCTCTCACTCACTCTCCTCATTCCTCTATCTGCTGTAGATGTAGCAGCAGAACCACTGCAGCACATACACTGCACTGCCTAATCTCCCAGAGACTGAGAGAGAGAGAGAGAGAGAGAGAGAGACTCTACAACTAGTTCAACGTAGAAGAAAACACAGAAAAGCACAAACCAGGACTTTTGGAAGAGTTTTATGTAAAGCACACAGAAGAAACACCTCCTAAGTGGATTACATTTACCTTTTTGCTTTTTTGTGGTCATGTCTTCTAGACTGAGGGAAATTTTTGAAGCACAGACTTTCTGATTGGTGACAGATCTGTAGAATATGTGTTACTCTTTAATAATGTCCGGAGGACACCTGCTGGAGCTACTTTGGATGATGTCTTTCTGGCAAGGTAAGCTAAATTATTTCTCTCTCTCTCTCTCTCTCTCTCTCTCTCTCGCTCTCTCTCTCTTCTTCAGTTGTCCTTTTAAAGCAGTATTGAAGTAGTCCCTTGTCTTAATTGTGTCAGAACACCATATCCACTTCTTTTGAGCATCAAATCTAACTGTGTCAAAGAACCATTTCATCTTATTACAAATGTCAAAGATGGTGGGAAATATCTTCGAACATTTAAACATGGATAATATGGGAAATTAATGCATTTTTATAATGTAGCTAACTATAGTTGAATTGAATCAATCCAGATTTGTTTAATCAAACTATTTAAACTGAATGTAGTCACAATATCAGTTGTTTGAGTTACATGTTTAGGAATATTTATATAAAAACGAACAGAAAGCTTTACACATAGACCTGTTTTTATCTATAGTATATATTAGTATATGAGGCCAACAAACCCACAAGCGTTTGGATTTTAGTTTTTAATTTTTTTTTAGAATACTCTCTTTCCCTATTTTTTATTCAAGGACACTGAAGTGTAGCAGGCTGATTGTTAGTGTGTGAAAGATTGCTTGGGATTATAAGAGCAGCCAAGCGACACACATTTATAACATAAATGTCCTAATAACTCTTCGGATAACTCTTCTTTTACAGTCTGCACGCCAAAAAAAGTAGTTTTACTCCCTTGTGCTCTTTGGTTTTTTGGCACCTTGAGCATGCCTTTGGAATTAGAAAAAATTGTAGTTCTTATCAAGGTTGGAGTTTTTGGTAAGGATACACAATTGGAATCTGAAGATTGTAATGAGCGTTTTTTTGCTTCAAACATGCAGTCAGCAATCAGCAGCTTCATTTAATTGTGTTATAATCTGTGTTGAAATTTTTATGATGAAAATAACATGTTCCAGGTAAGTGCACTCACTCTGTATTTGAATACAGTAGCCTCTTACTTTTGATGTAGGATTTTATTTGATTTCATGTTATTTAAACAGGCAACAGATTTTTCATTTAGGAATTTACAATGCCATGTTGGCCTGTTCAAGATCAAATAAGGTTTTTTTATATTGTGACGTATACATTGATAGAAAGTACTCAAAAAGTGCTCATAAATAAGAAAAGGTTGTGTTGTGAAATAAATATAAAATAAACAAAATCAGCCAAAAAAAACCAAAATGGAATCAGCAGCAAAAAATTAGGATGGGTGATTTTACCACAGCAAAGCAGCCCTGTTTGTGGTAAACGAGTGTGAGAAGGATGTGATTACACAGACAACTCAACCCATCTGATTGTTTATAAAAAGTGATCCAAAGCCTTGATTAGCCAATGTGCACAAATCTGCTTAGCATGTGTTGAACTCCCCAAGAACATTTTTATACAAATTCAAGCTAAAATTTGTTGAGAAAAGTTGAACACTGCATTGAAAGATTTTTCACATTTCACCATGATTATGAATACATTAGATTAGACAGACTGGTGTTGGACAGAAGCAGTTCTGTTTTTTGATCTAAACATCTGTATTTTAAACTGTATATCACTTTGAAAGGGACACTGGAAAAATTAGAATAACAGACCAACACCATTTATGAGCCCTTCCTTTCATATACCATTTAATGAGTGTTTTTCCTCTGCGGCCTCTAGTCATGTATGGTTAAGGTGATAAAGGAGAGAAAGGCCTTTGTTTTGTCACTGTCAAACAGCTGCACAGTAAGAGAGAGAGAGAGAGGGAGAGAGAAAGCGAGAGAGAGAGAGAGAGAAAGAATGAAAGAAACCAGAGCAATTACAATAGTCCCTCTGGTCACATGCATCTTGTCATTTGCTGTACTTAACCTGTGGGTTATGTGCAGTTTCACTCTGTGTGTGTCCAGGGAAGACAGGAAAAACAAGGCCAACAAAGTGAAAATATTTTAAAAGGTCATGTGTTTTTTTTAACATTGGAAAAAATGTTATCTAAGTTATATTTATATTAAGGTATATTTATGTATTAATGTTACATTATCACCCTTCAGTTATTCATTGTTCAGCCTCAAGAAAAAAAAAAGGTGAATTTAACACAAAATTTCACAGATGCCTCAATAACTAAATATAATATTGAAGTTTTCAGTACTTAATGTGTCCAAACTTTATTACATACAGCCTTCATTTGGGAGACTTCCTTTTATTTCATCATTCAAAGAAATCTGCAGGGCAGAGGAGTCCAGTATTAACACAGAACCTCCACCATAACTCCTCCCCATCACACTAGCAACCAGACAACATCTCAGCAAAGTTCTTCACCTCCCTATCCCAATTATTCCACACACCAAATCATTTGAAAGGGTCTGTGCACTCTGACACTACTTGTGAGTAAAGTGCCAAGATAAATCAACAGCAGACAGGAGGAGAAAAGGTCTATCAAACATGATTAGTTTAATGACAGCACATATCTCAAGCAAATTTCACACAGTGAATTAAGTATGAATTCCACAACAATTGTGGAGAAACTCCACGTAATATTAAAGTTAATTTAAATTTAAATTTTAATTAAATTTAAAACCTCCTAGAACTGTATGTCCAAATAAAGGACTGTTTGGAACCTTTATATTTAAGAGTGTTTTCAATGTTGTAGTCTTTCAGAACTGGAGCTCCTTTCTTTTACTCTAAAGTGTCAAGCAGACGTTCTCTGTGGGTCTTTGGGCCATACATCCAGACTGTACGGCCAAGTGCAGAACCATTTAGGAAGCTTTAGGTTTTTAAACCTTACAAACCTTAAAATTAAATTTTAATAAAAGAATAGTTTCAAAAAAAATTTATAATAGAAGCCAATGGACAGGTGCTGCATATAAGTTAAAGATTTTTTATCCTTCTCTACCTACAGCAAAATTATTGTCTATGGTAAGCAGTCATATGCTACAAATGCAGCACATGGAAATTAGGTTAAAAAACACTTACATACTCCTTTAACTTATCTAGTATGGGTTTCCCATCCTGGCTCCGGGCCCGGGCAATGAGCCACTCGCCTCCTCTGAGAAGTGTCTGGTCAGGGGCGCAGCAAGGGATTTTTGGCCCGATGAAAAGATATCACATTGGGCCCCACCTCTATAGCTCTCATAATTCAGCCAAAATATTTAAGATAAACACAAAACTGTGGTAGATTATTAGATTACACACTAATGTTTGGCAACTTAGTTGATAGCCAGGTCACTATTTTACACAATAGCTGAGACTTCAAAATTAGCTAATGTTAGCATGCTAATGACTCAATTGGCATCATTCACCAAGTTTTCTCTTAAATCTGTCCGTGAGAAAGATCTTAAGAAAAAGTCTATGCCAGATTCATGACATGTTCTTAAACCACAAATTTGTTTGCACCTTTGTGCTCTTGAGTGTGCATAGATTCTGTTCTTACCTAAAAACAAATTCAAATAAGAAAACACTGGTGAATGCCAAAATCTTTGTGAAAACTGTGTAAATAGGCTTTAGAATGGTTGGTGTATGAAGCCCAATGTACTGAAAGCTGTAAAATGAACACTAACTAACCTAAAGTTGCAAATATGATATATATTTATTACAAAAAAAAACACAACACATGAGTTTGTAATTTTTAAAAAAAAATTAATTGTTGAAAAATAATTACAGTTATGAGACTTTGCGTTCTGTTCACATTTTAGACGGTTAGTTAAAACCTGGCAGGTTAAGGTTATCAAAAGTGTGTTTTATAGCCATTCTAACTGTAGAATTTTAGTTCATGCTGCTGTTGGATCAGTCTGCTGCTGTAAAATCTGGCAGTGTGGAAATCCAGGTTAAACGCCTGATTCAGATATCTTAATGAAAATGCTGTAGGTCTCAGTTCTGACAAAAAATATAAAATATTAAAGTTTCTATCGATTGGCTGAATAAAAATCTGTGAACTGCTGCTGTGAGGGGGATTCTTCACAATTCTCTCCTGATAGCCGGACTGCCTCCCTACCTAGTTGAAAACTCTTTAAATCTACACAATTCATTTATCATTAAAACAGTGAATTGAACAAGTTTGTATTTAAATGTAATCCTACTGGAAATCACCCTATTTTTAGAATGTATCTGTAATCTGATTACTGCCTTTTTTCTGTAACCGTAACAGATTACAGTTACCTTTTTGTATCCTGATTATGTAACGCTGTTACATGTAATTTTGTTTTTAGAAGCCAGATTTTTTCTTTAGGAAGCTGAGATATGAAGCTCTAGCAGCACTCCTCACTTGCAGTTCACTGCTAGCAAGTACCGTTCACGCCTGGTAGGACAGGACAGAACCATTTCATCTAAATGGGGATGGGTTGGGCAGTACAGAGGCTTTATGGATGTTTATTTTTTGCCAAAAACGAGAAAAGAAACTATTAGTTTTATAAGTAGATTGTACATAAATACTGGTTTTATAAGTAGACTGTACATAATATGCTAATGATGATCAATGGTTAATAATTTAATATTGAAAAAAACGCCTAATTTTTAGGGCCCCTGTCAGTTACAGGTCCAAATCATCCAAATTTTTCCCCCATATGGTGCCCCAGCCTGCAGTGAGTCAGCTACAGTTTTACAGTACACAGTAAGTTACAGTAAGTTTTAACAAAGTGCAATCATTTCTGCTTCTGCTCTTTCAGTCAGTAATATAATTTAACACAGTTCTCTGAGGAGTATGATACCTATACTGGACTGTAGGATAGGAAAATAATTCAGTGTTTTTCAACATACACTCTGTTTCCCGGATTGGTGGCGTGCAGTCGATTACCACAGTCAATAATCTCAACATTTGTCTCTAAATAATAAACAGAAAATGCCACCAAACAGGGATGTAGCTACAACTTTCACAATGAGGTGACTAGGTTACACCCAGTAAATTTACTGGAGTGGCTAAGGAAAACAGCTGTTCGTAACGTTCTTCTGGACATATAGGGCTATGTTATTAATAAAGTACAGTATTAAAATTCATATAATCATGTTTAGCTTTAAAGTAAATAAAAATATTATTATTATTGTTGTTGTTGTTGTTGTTAATGTTAT